GACGAGCCCACTGACAGGACCGAGACAGCGGCACGGGAGAGAACGACACTCACGAGACAACACCTGACGTATGAGGGTGCCACAGCCACGCCAGACGCAGGTCTGGTTCCCGCTTAAAGGGTAATCTTTATCAGTGAGAGATGGACGGTGAGATTTAGCGAGCAGCTCTATAAGGCGGAAACCAAGCCCGCCAGGGTGAACTGTTGTATATTCCGGTTGTTGCATGCCTAAGGCAGTTAATCTGTTGCGGTTGTAAGTGGTGGGACATCCAGCTAGAGTACGGGGTGTGGTGAGGCGCTCAGTGGGCGCTGGTTCAGTGCCAGATGAGATTAACTGGAATACCTGCGGTGTCTTGCTGTATACCTCTCATTTATAACTACACCTGGCGGGATTTGCGCCAACGTTGAGAAACTTCCTGTTCTGTGAGTAAACGACCTGACTTAGGGGATCATGATCGTATCTATCTCACTCCAAACCGCAAAGACCGTCTCAGCAAAACAATATCACAGACACCTTCTCGCACCACGCCCTGATAGGTCGCAAATCATCCCTTTCCGAGCTCTTCATGATTGGATTTGGAAGCATTACGACACGCCCTGTGTATGAGTCGGGAGTCTGACCGCTCCCAGACCGAACTGTCATCGTTGACAGCTAGTCTCTGATAGCCTGAACCGCGCTCCTTCGAGCACCGCGGGCTACCTGCGGCGCACGACTGTCGCCGAAATATGGGGGCCCCACTGTGGTGACGTGCGTCAAGAGTAGTCCAGTGCTGTCCCAGTAACAGTAAACACTCCACGGGGAATATACCTACCCAGGGACGGGACGGGACGGAATGGGAGTTATGTCTGCGACGGTTCAGTGAAGATATTCATCATATTCATGGGTATGCTCTACAGACGCGTGATGGCTAGTTCAGTCAACGGCAAGGGACACATACCAGCTGGGCGTCTCTCGTCCCAACCCGCCGATCCAGACTGACGGACAAGAGTGTGCGCCTGCGGACTGTGGGGTGGAAAATGTGTGTGTGTGTGTGGGGGGGGGGGGGTAGACGATGATCGGCGTTACCAGCTGGCCCATCGGCGGTACCATCCTCCGAGCACGAAGCTTTGCCCAGCGACGCTCTGTGCCCCTCCGCTACTGAAAGGATCCGGCTGTATCCAAGCATGGCCAATATGAGATGCTTCGAGTTTAAATGGATGTTTTCGTTGCCAAGCAGCTGTTGCTATAGTGCACGTGGGTTCGAGTCTCGTGCGCTGCATACTGATGTGTAAATGAGTGTTAGTATGCCGCTGGTAGAGAGCTAGAGGCATGCGAGTCACGAGGTAGCGTATATGTTTGGCATTTTGATTAGCGGATGACAACCGGAAGTGTTTTTAAAGACAGTCATAACCCTTGTCACCCACCCAGAATATCTGAAATATATACATATGCGGGACTTTTTCATGCAGGACGGTTAGGAACGAGAACGTTTGTTACCTCGACGGCAAAGATAAGCTATACCGCGTGGAGCTTGCCATAACGGCCATAACTATTTTAGTCTTTTTTATTACTCTTTTTACTATTTTAGTTACTCTTTCTAAACTTGGCACAAGGAACCGGAAATTGATTTTCCACATCCTTTGTTTTATCAACATTATGCTAATAGTTTTTTTTCATTTCACGATTGGAACCGCAAATGTCTTAGGATTGAGAGGAAGCCGCTTCTGTGTCGGCTGAATTGATGCTAACGATGCTTATGCTATTTTCCGTCTTTATACCCCTCGTAAAGAGGGTATCTGCCGCCACCAGCAGAGAATCGGTGAGCGTCCCTGACAGGCGGCGACGGTGAATGTAGCCGGCAGTGGAAATTTAGGATCTCGTGTGATGAGCTGATTAACGGATTATAAGCTACCTGAGCTGACAGTGAAAATGTGTCTTTATAACGACAGTCAAGGGTAAAATACTGTTCTCCAAACGCCGGCTTATATTTTGCGACATTGCTAGTGCCCAACCGAAATGCATCAGTTTTTCTTTAACACATTTCAATCATCTTTACATTGAAATATGCTCGTGATAGGTGCTAACTGTTTTATCGGCCTAGTTTAGGCTTCTTTTAATAGAATAGCACGACTTTGACTAACAGGGTTTTAAGATATTGGACATAAACCTAGTATTTTTTAAAATTAATCGCTAACAGTTACGGAATTTCAACACTGAACAATAAATGGCTTGTAGGTCAGTAGGTGGAGGTCCGCGGAGAAAATTAAGTCGCATTATTTTTAGGGCAATGCCTATGTAAATTGTTCATTTAATTTGGTGCCTACTGCCTATAATTATCGACTATCGTGGTTATCAAACCGTGTCATCATGTAGGAAACTACCATCCATTGGCAATAGGCATTGTATGGTACAACTGATAACATTCTTCGGTTCCCGTTGCTGATAGTAGAACGGGGTAATACCGTAAAATAATTGCACTTTGAATTTGTTCAGAAATCCTTCTGTATGACAATAATGACCTTCCTGAACTATGTAACAATACTGCACAATGTAAGGGAAAAGACTAGGATATTAAACGAATATCTTCTTTCCTCGATGATCGATAACTACGTTGTTTTCACACTTTTATGTGGACCTCCTATGTCCCATTTGTACGTTATAAAACAGCCCGCAAGACAGCTCAATCTGATGGGGCCCATCCTGGCACATCTGTGCCACTCATGTTCTCCAAGACATTCCTTCTTCCCTCCCTAATTTAGTTCCGCCTTGCCCTTTTGGACACGTGGCAAGAGCTGGTGATGTGAACATCCCATCGGTCACTGCTGAGCTTCCCAAACCCTGCAGATTTGCTGAGATCTCACACCGACAGATGATGTCTGGGAGCAATAAACTAGTATAAAAGTGCCGCCAGTGAGAGCTTAAAGTGAGCGTCGTCGATAGTTCACCAGACCTGTGCACACGTGTTAATTTTCCTCCGTCTATTTTAGTCAGCCAGCACCCGACATGCGTCCCGACAAACGTGTCATATTGAACAACTAACGCATTAAGCGTCTTTTTAAATAATTAATTTCGTGGCGAAGACTGTATGTGCAGCGTACACTGCCCCTGCAGTTCCTGTGGTGTAAGACACTGAGCGGCTCGTTTTCTGTCTCGTTTCTGACACCTGTCAGCATCCTCTGTCACACCACTGTCACCGCTGTCACGACTCTGACTGTCACCGCGGTGCGTCTGTCATGTGACATCCGGGATAGCTGCTCCGGCACGCAGTCTCGGTCCGCGGCTCGGCGGATGCTCTGATGTGGCGCTCAGGTGTCCGGACTCCCATCTGCCGGCACCTCCGATGCCGTGCTGCGGGCCTTATTAAAATGCGGCTGGCTGGGCCTGTGCTGTTGTTGGTTCTGGGCCAGGAGGGCTATTATAGTCGCCACGCCCGCCGCCGCCGCCGTCGCCGTCGCCGTCGTCTCCCGCTACCATCTCAGTTGGGCAGCGGAAATCCACTAAGCCTGGCAGGTTAAGTCCATCGGGTGACGATGCCACATGACCTCACGAGTCACACCACGAGTCACCTGCGTAGGCTGGTGACCTGGGGGGGAGGGGGGGATGGAACGGGTTCAGGGTTGGTATATCAAAGAACGTCGATTGTCTTCTCCGCTCAAGCTCAGTGTATGGAGGCACTGAAGCTTCACACAAACGTACTCGGATGACCCACAATTAGACTTATTTGTGTCAGGCAATAAATGACACCTACTGTCAAACAGTGGCATACTAGGATTAATTACTATACTTTTCGACATGTCAACAAGCTCGTGGAGTACATGGTACTGTCATGAGCAAAGTTATTCTCGGCAGTCTTTCGCGTCAATCACCTTTCTCCTTCGACAGCATCTCGTCTGGAAATGTGCATCATACCTGTCTCTTATATTCCCGGGCGGCGGGCAGTGGAGGTAAAGCTCCGTTTACACTGCGGTGGATAGTAGAGGTAAAGCCCGGTTTACACAGTGGAGAAGCTCGCTGCCATGCCGTTGACGGAGTCGTGACACGTCGGGAACCAGAGTGTATAGCCGGGAATCACTGCGCCCCTGATGGACACGTGTTTACTTCAGACGAGCGACGTGGGGAGACAGGAGTGCTGGGTGGAATGCTGAGTTAGGGTTGTTGCTGAATACCAATGGTATGGCGTGCCTACACATCTGGATTCATCGGACTCCATTCGGGGACTTTACGATGGCTAGTTTAGGGTGAAGTTGGTGTCATTTTTTCGTACGTTTATTTATAATTTTTATAGTTTACGAGCATGTTTTGACTGTCCCTGCTTATGGACGTTAGTTGACTGGTTTATTTACGGCACATTGCTGCGACGCTAGGTGTATGTAATTCAAACGTTTTCCAATGACTTTGGAGGTGACTCCTGAGTCCTGCCGTCGCCCGTCACTGCATCGGACGCTATTTAACATCGCTCTTGACGCATACATGAATAAAGAGGTGTCCATGACCGCCAAGGGCCGCACCCTGTTCGGCAGAATATTTAAAATACCAGGCTGAGGGCTGGCGTCCAGTGATGCTCTAAGTTGATACCGAATCTGTCCGTTTGCGTCGCCAGAGAGTTGGCTCCCGATTGAACAGACTCACCTGATTTGGCAGCCTTCCCTGAGCCCCCGGAGCGAACACAAGTGACGCATTTGGGTACAAATGGCTCCAGGGTTTTGTGCGGAGTGGAGTTAGCAAACGAACTCCGGTTGCGTTCTGGGAAATGTTAATGCTTACTTCATCGAACATCAGCCTAATTTGGTTTGGCATTTAAATCACTAAAATATTGATAAATCTCAACAATGCCATGGCTTTAAGTGAAACCTATCCGTCTGCAATGACCACCACCCTGATCGTTCCGTCCCGTTGTGTCTTCGGAAAGGTGTACTGAACTGTACCTGTCGTTACGGTTAACCCCATCCTACCTTTCTCGCATAGTTGTATCCCGCTTTTGCACAACAACCACACACTAACCTACCACTGTTTGTCCTCAGGAGGCGCGCCACAGCTGCAGGACGATGAACCGTACCCTGAGGAACTGGCCATCTATGACGCCCAGATGGTCTCTGAGCCCGAGTCGCTCGTCGTACGAGAGGGAGCCAACATCAGCCTGCCCTGCCAATGGGAGAGCGAGCGAGGTGAGGACGAACGACTACAACACGATTACAATTGATGAGGGGTGACGTCTTCGAGTGCCTACCTCGTGTCATCTGTTTCCTTCTCTTTGGACGAAGTTGACTGTAGTAAGAAGCCCGCCAAGTTCGCGGTCCTCCCAATACACACTCGGTGTAATTATAAAGCGGCCGTGACAGACGGCTGGCCAGTGTTGCCGGCTACTGTAGCGCAGAGCCGACGGGCCGCATCGGATCGGCGCCCGACGGTGTGGCCAGCGGTGTTTGGATTTCTAAACTGTGACGTCAGCGTCATATCACGAACCTTTGTTTATCTCTGGCTCCATCCGCCAAAGCCACGCCACCGCTACTCGCCAGCCATGGGCCGAGCTCTCTGAATCTTCCCAGATCTATTGTTTTCACTTGCGCATCCATCGGTACCGCTTAAGATTCAAATGTAGGCGCTCACAGGGCACCGAGGCATGCCGACGATTTCGCCTCAGTCGGGTGGCCTCACAGGGCCCCGGTGATCCGTCTAGAGGCCTGGCGCGCCGCTAGGGAAGGGTGGCCTCACGCTGGGTAATGGGTGCGAACCCCACCGGGTGATCGCCCCCTGCGGAGGCCGCACCGAGACAACTACCCCCTGTGGCCCCGGACTTCAAGACGATCCAACCGGGGTCTCATAACTGGCGAACTCCCTCCGGCATAAGGCTTAGCACAATTACCATGCTAACTTGTGGGTGATGGTGACTTGTGGGTGATGCCTTTTTTCCCTGTAATGCCCACCGTCTGGTGGTTAGAGGAAATGCACAAGGTAATAATAATAATAATAATAATAATAATAATAATAATAATAATAATAATAATAATAATAATAATAATAATAATAATAATAATAATAATAATAATAATAATAATAATAATAATAATAATAATAATAATAATAATAATAATAATAATACTAACTTGCCAAAGCATTCTGAGTTTTTTTCCAGACCGTTTAAATGGTTGAGCTAGCAAGTTCAATAAATCACCTATTAGAACATTGTCAAGTTCCTGTTTACCACTTTTCCGTCGTAAATTCGTCCCTTTTTAATGAATATGGTATATAGTACATGACTAGGGTGACCCGCGTGCTCCGCAACGCGAAAAGGGATATTTTCGATCGGCGGGTGTTCGGTTGTTCTTGTGTCGGTTGGGTTATCTATCCATTTCGGTCGATTGCTTTTTGACGGCTAAACGTTTTGGTTTGTGGAAAAAAATATCCACCGCATCGAGGTGCCCGTGTCTGATAAGCATGCTTTCCACTTCAGAATCTGTCAAATGTGCTTTATAATTTAGGCGCGTAGTTTTATGACAAATTAAAGGCGTAGATAATTTTCACTAAAAATAGTTTTGCAGATGTTTGAAACATTTCTATTTTTAAGAATACTGTTGCTTGTCATGCAAACGTGATGATTGGATCTTGGAGAGAATTGAATGCTCTTTCCAATGATAGCATTTTCAATTGTCAAACGTATCAGGTTAAGCAGCAAAATCCGTGTAATTATTTAGTGGCACATTTTGGACAAATACCATTTAATTCAGCGATTTTTTCCACATTGTTTTTGATCAATTAGCTTTTCACAATTTTTCCATGAGAGACGGTACATTTTATTGCTAATAGGCGCTGTTTCAACTCATTCTGTCTGACGATCACCTGAAATTAATATAAATTCCAAAATCCGTCCAAAACGTCCATTTTTCAAAAGAAAGTGTCCTCCCCGGTGCACGTGGCGCGTGCCAACCCCTGCACCGCACACCATTCGATAGCCCGTTCGATTCTTTACACGATGCTGTTTTCCCCGTACCGGTCGGGCCCACGGTTACCGAGATATTGCACCGGGACCGGACCCGTGTCGGGCAAATTTGGCTGTTTTCGCCCGTTTTTGCCAGCCGATTAATACATGTAAAGTCTATGACGCGAATTTGCACTTTTTGGGCACGCGCCACGCGCTCGCTATCGATCCGATCGAGCTGAGACCCATCAAAGGCACGTTGTCCATCCTTGTTCTATGAGTTGCGCAAACTTCAGCGCGGTAGGTGCAACGGTGTGACCTGTAACCCGCGCTACGTAGCACCATGTCGCGACCTTCGTAATAGACAGAAACTACGTCACCTCAAATAGTAATATTTGAGGTGACGAATACTAGGGTTACCCGCGTGCTCCGCAACGCGAAGGGGGATTTTTTGACCCGTGGGTATTGGGTTGGTCTGTGTCGATTTGGTTGGTAGATATCCATTTCGTTCGATTGCTTTTTGACGGCCAAGCATTTTGTAAGAAACAAAAAGATACATCGCATCGAGGTGCCCGTGTCGTATTATCATGCGTTCTACTTTAGAATGATTCGAAAACTGACGTGAAGTCTTTTGAGGGCCATCGATGAATTTCGCTAAAAATGACAATGTAATGGTTTGGAACATTTACATTTTTAAGGATACTGTTGCTAATCATGCAAAAATGAAGAGTGAATATTGGACAGAATTGAATGCTCTATCCAATGGTACCATATTCAATTGCCAAAGGTATCAGGTTATGCAGCAAACCCCGTGTGATTAATAAAGTGGCACAAAATTGACAAACACCATTTTCTCCTGTGATTTGCACCACCTTGATTTGGATCAATCAGCTTTTCACAATTTTTATATGAGAGGCGGTACCTTTCTCTTGCAAATAAGCGTTGATTCAACTCGCTCCATTTAACGGTCACCTAAAAATAAAATTAATTCCAAAATCCCTCAAAAACCGCAATTTTTCAAATAAAAGTGCCCTCTCCGGTGCACGTGGCGCGTGCTATCCTCTGCATTGCACACCATTCAATAGCCCGCTCAATTCTGTACACGATGCTGTTTTCCCCGTGCCGGTCGGACCCCTGGTCACCAAGATATTGCACGGGAACTGGACCCGTGTCGGCCAATATTAGCCGTTTTCGCCCGATTTTGCAAGCCGATTTATACATGTAAAGTCTATGACGCGAATTTGCACTTTTTGAGCACGCGCCACGCGCTCCCTATCGACCCGATCGAGCTGAGACCCCCCAAAGGCACGTCGCGCATCCTTGATCTATAAGTTGTGCAAATTTCACCGGGCTAGGTGCAACGGTCTGGCCTGTAGTCCACGCAAAGCACCACCAAGTCGGGACCTCGGTAACGGACAGACGCACCCTCCTCAAATAGTAATATAGACAAGCGGCTGCGCCACTTGCTTTGCTGCGTGGTAGGAAAAAATTGCGGCACCAGCCAATTTGCTTTCGAATGGTGTTTGATTCATGTCGATGTGTCGTCTAGAAGCATAGATATGGACGGAAATGTGAAGAGAATTTAAAAAATACTGCTCTGAGGACTTCCTTGGATGAAAGTTGGGTGATACGGGGTCAAGACGGGTCATAGGGGTCAGCCCTGGTCACTCTGGGTCAGGCCAGGTCACATAGGTCACCTCTCGTCTGATGGGATCAGCCCGGACCCCTGTTCTACTTTTGCCTCCACCACTACCCCTACCCCTACCACTACCCCTACCACTACCCCTACCACTACCCTTACTACTACCCCTACCCCTACTACTACCCCTACCACTACCACTACCCCTACCACTACCCCTACCACTACCCCTACCCCTACCCTACCCCTACCCCTACTACTACCCCTACCACTACCCCTACCCCTACTACTACTCCTACCACTACCCCTACCCCTACCACTACCCCTACCACTACCCCTACCACTACCCCTACCCTACCCCTACCCCTACTACTACCCCTACTACTACCCCTACCACTACCCCTACCACTACCCCTGCCACTACCCCTACTACTACCCCTACCACTACTCCTACTACTACCCCTACCACTACCCCTACCACTACCCCTACCACTACCCCTACCCCTACCCCTACTACTACCCCTACCACTACCCCTACTACTACCCCTACCACTACCCCTACCCCTACCACTACCCTACCCCTACCACTACCCCTACCCCTACCCCTACCCTACCAATACCGCTGGGTCATGTCAGGTCACAGACCAATTGGATCAAATAAGTATTAAAACCATACTTAAAGTGTTCCCAGCCCTGCCCCTATTCGTGCCATTCCATTACGCTTAATCGTATTTGTCGGAAATGGCGCTTTGTGGCAAATGTGGCGCATTGCGGCAAATGCGGCGCATCTGTACCTGTTGTTTGAGCATGCACCCTTGCACCAAATTGTACCCTTATCGGGTCATATTTGACAAAACTATGCGATTTGCGGCAAAAATGGCGCCTTGTCACCAAAGTGGCGCATTGCGGCAAACACGGTGCATTTGTATACTCGTATCACAAACTGTTTCCATTGAACGAAAATCAACACATTTTTTCGCCACTTTTCATTCAAATTAATAACTTGCCGATCCGCCAATGCGAGGCACTCGCCGCCGATCGGCATGCATTTAGTTTACAAAGTTTCTCGACCCCGGCTCTCAATGAAGATCTACGAACCGATCAAAATTTCATTGGCGTTCTTCCAGCGCGCCCCACGCGCGAACCGTGCACCCCAGCGAGCCGAAACCCAGAAAAGGCGCTGACCCGCTCTGTCACCTAGAAGGTGTGCAAATTTCAACCCCCTACGATATACCGTCTGCCCTGTAGGCCGGCTAAATTGAACCCACTACACGGCGTGGCGGACAGACAAACAAACAAACAGATGGATCCTGTTCAAATAGTAGTATAGATTTTAAGCTCCCTCACCAGATTCCGCTTTGCGGTCTCCCCATCAGCGCTGAGTGCTGACACACTTCCCTTTTCCCAACAGCCGGCGACATCATCGTACTGTGGAAGAAGAGGCCCAACATCATCCTGTTCACGGGCTCGATGAAGATCAGTGAGGACGAGCGCGTCCACCTGGGGCCCAATAACGAGCTGCGCGTGACGGACGTGACGGCCGGTGACGGCGGCACCTACGTCTGTATCGTGGCCGTCACACCGGACCCCATCGAGCTCGAGCACACTGTCTCAGTAAAGTGTGAGTAGATTAGGCGTAGCATGGGTGCTAAGTACATGCGTCACTTTGTAGGTTTTGTGATCATGACATCGCATAATCAATATCTTATTTTATTGTTGAGGGATTTGTCATGCCTGGCGGCTCGAAATTATCGCTCATGATATGCGGCACAGCATACCTTCAGGCGCTATAAGCTAGTGACATCTAGCGACAGTAAAATCAAACCAATTCACCAATGCTTATTCCCGTTCGCTGCTATTGTGCTTGTAGCGCGTACATTTGAGAATCATGAATTTATGTATCAACGGCAGAATCCAACCATGGAATGCTTGCAACACCACCCCATATCCCCCGAATAACGCGTCTCGATCCACAGGGCCTGCCAAGCTGCACCCCCTGGACACGGACCATTTCCAGGTGCGCGAGGGAGAGTCCTTCGAGCTGATCTGCGGAGCGGACGGCAACCCGGAGCCCACCATCACCTGGTCCAGACTGGTGAGTGCCTGAAGAGTGCGTAAGGAGTGCCGAGCGAGTGCCGACAGAGTGCGATCTCATTGTGCAGCGGTAAAACTGACGGAAATTCAAGGGTACGCACTCCCTAAGTTACGACGGAAAGAAGTGCCGTCGAAAGACGGCACTTCTTTCGATGCTATTTTCGGGTGCCGGTGTTTGGTACTCGTTTGGCTCATGAATGCGATTGTCGGCACTCTTTAAGTGAGAGTTGACACTCCCATGACTGAGTGTCGACTCTCTCCCATATCATATTCAACTCTGCACAAAATGCAGCGTGAGATATTGGCCCTTAGAACAACTCTCAATATCCCACACGCTCGTTGTGCTAAGCGTTTCCTTGAGCGCACCAACAGCTGCGTCCTCTGCAGCGGTTCACAGTGCGGGGGTGTACTGTGCTGTTTGTCGTCCGAGATCGATAATATGATCTCAGCTGATCATCTCACTACAAACATTACCGCACATGTATCCGTCGCTCAGCCTGCCGGGTTGTGTTCGCTCAGAGGCTGCATGCCATGACGCTTTGCAATGGGCCATCTGAACAGCGCCATGTCATTCGTTGGTCTTTGGTGCTGTTTGGTGTTATGCTTAGTGCACCGTTTTTCGTGTTGTACTGCTGATATCCCGTATTACACCTCTTCCATCCCGTACGGTATCGTTTCCAATGCCATATAACTCCGAGTGCCTTCACAGAAACCGCTATCCCTTCGTACTCCGTGTTTCTATACTACCTTCCATACCTATTATGCCGTTACCACTCCCTATTTCTGCCGTGTAAAAATTATACTAGCCCTTTTAACAGCCGTTCAGAATCACACCGGTGCTGACTGTCGAGAAACACAAAATGTTGTGCCCATTTGGCGTGCCTGTGAACTTCAATTGTCCACCAAAAGCTATGCAGTGTAGCAGAAATTTCTCAATCAAAACACCATCACGCCATAGAGAATGAGTCATCAGTCCTTCACCACTGTTGAAACTTTCAAACCTCGCGGCCAGCCTGCCGTCGATAGCCGGAACCTCATCCCGTAAACACTGGCGATTGTGTTATCTCTGTTATCGTTTCGTGATCGCTACCGGCTGCGGTCTGCCGCCCGGCAGCCAGGTTTCCCAAGACCGGTGGATGATGCTGCAGGCTCTCGATACCTATCTATGTCCTTTAAGTGTTCTATCACTGCCCTGGTCTAATGCCCATTCCCTGCTTTATTTTATATCTGCGTTGCATTAGCCGTTTTCACGATGGCCATCTGGTACACGTTTGGTGCACATCTGGTACAGATCAGGTGGATTTGGTCAAATCAGGTTCAGTGTGTCTCTTAGCAGCTATCAGCTAGGGTTGCACTAATTGCTTATATGCCTGTTTTGTCATATTATCAGAGAGCATCATCGATTAAAACACTGAAATAAATTCATAAAATGAAGATATTTGCTGTAAAAGAAATTAGGTGCTGCAGATTTGGTCAAATCAGATGCATTCTCCGGATAGCCCGTCGTGAAAACGGCTATTAGCACCATCCCATGTCCGCCCCTTGTTCCATCTCGCGTCCCGTCTCGTGTCTATAGTCCAGTTCCCCGTCCTGTGTCTCGTCCCATATCCTGCCCCATGTCCTGCCCCATGGCTTTCCCCGTGTCCCGTCCCGTGCCCGTCTTATGTCCCGTCTCTTGTCTCGTCGGGCCGCTCGCTTAGTTGTCCGGTCCGCCGCCGCTGCAGTGGTGTTTGTCTGTACGTTTGTGTGTGTTTGCCTGTTTGCAGCCCACTCCTGACGCCGAGGGACCGTATGTTCAGAACGGAGACCCAGTAGCGCCAACGAGTACGCCCGAGGTACGATATGATTTTGTACTTTTTAGCGATTTTTTGTGACTGGTTCTAGAGCATCACTGCGGCATGGCATGATAAAACCGCTTAGAAACGGATGTCTCGTACCGTTTTAGTTTTATTTACGCACTCACCTAATGTAAATAGCGATACTCGGTGTTGGTATCCCGTTCATATATGTTATAATTTGATTGTGATCCGACCTCATTTAACACGGTTGGGTAATTGCTGTAAGGTTGAATTTTGGTTGTAAGGCTCAAATAGTTTTTTTTTAACTGTTATCAGTATTGCATCGAGGTAAACATTACCGAAACACCCTGAAATATGTTGTTTTCATGTCGTCTACACATCGTCACCTCGTGCCGCAGGGTGACGACATGGCCTTCCTGCCGGAGAACCCATCCAAGAGCGTGGCGCTCTCCCTGGACCCGGTGCAGCCGCGGCACACGGGAACCTACACCTGCACGGCGCAGAACGGCGTCGGCAAGCCAGACGTGCTCACTGCTAAACTGGAGGTCACACGTGAGTATACCGGTACCGGGTCGAACGTTTGCTTTAGTTATAAAAAATGTCGTAAATGATCATAGTGGGCAAAAGGATCGACATGGCGAAGTTACTTGGAATTGAAACACACACATATCTCAATTAAATGTTGAAGGAGATATGTTTGATGTATCATACTGAACATACAAAATAATTAATGACTGTGCACGGACGGGGCTAGAAGGGTTGTCTAGCCCTCCTCTCGCCCTGTTCAACAGCTGGTGACCCATGGCAAACCACTTCCTCTGTCTCATGCCGATGCCGGATATCCAACTGTGCTCACTGTTCACGGTATTCCAAACAGATGTGGTCTCTTGGCCAATAAATATACCTCATCCGTGCGCGTACAAAGGGCTCCTGCTTTGCCTCACTCTGTCTATTGATTGCCTCCCCTGGGTTCGACTACCCTGCCTCTCCGGGGTCAAATGTCAGGCGCGACGGTCAGCGGGCTGACCTCGGCTGACGTCGGGTGACGCCGGGGTGGTCGAGGTCGGCTGACATGGACACAGGGCGGCATTGTGCGGTGACAAACGGTCTTCAGGTCCGTCTGCCACCCTGAATACCGCTGCCAACGAGGGGGTGGGTAGTGCTCCGAGTGTTATTTTTATATATTGGCGCCGATTGGAAGCTGGAATTTCTCTGGTATTTACAGGAGCCCAAAGTCTCGTCTTCCTAACTAGACTGCTGCTTATTTTCGTGCTTTCGGCAGGCTGTTTAGTTACGACTTATCACCGACACCTTACGCCTGAACGCCCGTTCCATGACGGCTCCTGTCGCATCTCTCTCTCTCTCTCTCTCTCTCTCTCTCTCTCTCTCTCTCTCTCTCTCTCTCTCTCTCTCTCTCTCTCTCTCTCTCTCTCTCTCTCTCTCTCTCTCTCTCTCTCTCTCCCTCCCTCTCTCCCTCCCTCTCCCTCTCTTCCATCTCCGCAGAGCAACACCGGACACGGCTGACTGTCGTGACTGGTCTGTCTGCCACGTGCCGGTGCCGGCAGACGACCCACCTGGCACCCCTCCCCTCCCCTGGGGAATTTGCACCCTCCCCACACTCGGGGATAATCCACACCCCTCCCCCACACACCCAGAAGGCGGCGCCGGGTCAGTCACCCATTGCCGGCGGTCATACTCAGGTCACCGCTGCTGAGGATAACACACTGTGAGTGTGAACACCTTCGACTGCCTAGGAACACCGAGGTGGCACCCCGCCCCTCTCTGCCCCTCCTCTCCCTCCTTTCGAGCTGTTGAGTCACGCTTGGTCGCCTCTCCGCCTGCTGCTGGCACCGCGGCAGAGCGCCGAATGCGCCGGGTACGCCGCCACTGCGCCGTGGCATGTCACCGCCGCGCCGCGGCACGCAGACGGCGCACTTGGCCCGCGCGTGCGCCGAGCGCTGCAGGGGTGGAGGCGAGCGGGCGGTGAGGGTCGGTTGTGACGAATTGGTTGACAGGGGTGAGTGTCCGGTGCAGCTGCCGACGGCGGAAGGTTCAAGGCGCACGCAAGGGGTCATGCTGGGGAGCTGCATGGTTGGATACCCTTGGAGGGAAAGAAAAGTCGTGCGCTCGAGAGCCTTCCTTTCAGTGTAGAATACGTAGAGACAGAAAATCAAGCTCCCGTCATTTCATCAATGGCGGTTTGATTCCTATTTGCCGCAAATGAGATAGAAAGAAAGCTTACCGAACCAATGAACAGCCGTTCTAGTTGTCAGCTTTTTAGTACCGAATGCCGATCATGCGTCCTCGTGCTGCAGTAGATCAACTTCCTCTGGATTGGATTCAACATTGGATTCATTGCCGTGTTCGAGTGGCCGTTCTACTGTTCACCAGTCTCTCTTCACTATCAACCCATGCGCAGGCTAGCACCCCAGCAGTGCGGAAATGTCACAACGGCAGGGCGGGGGTGGAACACCCTTCCGGCTCTGCATATCTGCAGGACGTGATCTCAACTAGCCTCTGTCATCCTCCCTGGGGTTCATCCGGAGCTGTGGTGGCGTCTTCCGTTTTCCTATCGACACGGGGGTGGACCCGCCCGGATCCAGTGCATAAGATAGCTCGACTTCTGATGAGCCGACGACAAATGCGCCCCGAAGACTGCCGTTGGATGACAGAAGCGGTAACGTGACCGTGAGTGTGATGATGCCACCGGACGGGATTGGCGCTATCGGCCTGACCTCCCACGAGTTTTCCTGATTCTTGCCACTGTGAGGTGAGGTGAGGTCAGAGCCCACCGGTTCCGTCCTCCCACTGCACTTACATCGGAGTACAATGAAGTCAGCCATCCGGCGGCCGTCAGAGATGACAGCACTGACCACTGACCGGTGACACACCGTGCAGTTCAGTGAAGTCAGCGGCGGGGTCTGCCGCTCCCCAGACCCGTCACACGGCGCCGCGCGGACTGCCGCCCCGCCCCCGCCCCCGCCCCCGCCCCCGCCGGAGCTGGCCTGCACGTGTGCCGGTCGGACGGAAGCCGAGGGACCTCAAGGGGATGGGTTTCGGCCGGCGCAGGGCGAGATAAATCGACGCCGTTTGTCATAACATCCGAGTTAAGTGTGAGTCTCGTCTGAGACTGCCACTCGCCGAGTGACGGACAGTGGTCAAACACAGGGTCAGACGGATCCGGATCAAGTTCAAACAGCGCTAGGTAGCGCAAAATACTGACCTCGCGTGACGAAACTCGAGAAAATACTCCGAAAAGCTGGCAAGCGTTGTATGGGATCTTTTCGTTTTCGGATGGAATCATTTGGCGGCCGCTTGTGCTGAAGCTGGCCGTTTGTATGTGAGACCTCTCTTTTCCTTTATCCACGAGGTCACCCACCTGGCTAGACGCAGAGCAGTCGGTGCTTTTAAGTGCCCGGTCGGTGCTTTCATAGGTCACTTTATATTCCAAGGTCTTTGGCAGTGTCAAATGTCACTCGCTCCCAGTGTTCTGTCTGTCCGGGTCAGCCGCTGAAACGGAAACAGATCAGAGAGAAGAGCCGATAGATGCGTATCTAAAGCCGAGAACGGGCCTCCTGCCACGACATTGGCATGAAGGTCACGAACTTGGAGCCGCTTGTGACGAAAGTCGCTCCCAGACCTCGTCGTAAACGTTTGCTATAGCTTTGCGGTGGAGATCTAAATTCCTATTTCAAAAGCACCTAACCAGTGTTTATTTTTCAGAATATCTGGATATGACGAAACTGGAGCGGCTTATTTTTAGACGTTCGTACGTTCATTTCACCGTTTGATTTCGATTGAGAGCGGAGAAATTAGGCATGCGATCAACCTACCGTCAAGGGCACTAAAATAAATGCAGACGTAACGACGCACCTATCTGTAATATCTATGCATCATACACACATAAGATGACTTAATGTGTCGGGATATTCACTGACTGTGAAGCTCGATTGCTCGTTACAGAATTTCACCCATACACGCCCCGAACCACCAACCTCGCCAGCAATCTCACATCTCTCTGGCCTTGGCTCGAACTTTGAGAATCCGCAGACGAGCGGCTGGTGTTTCCGGTATCAGATTTCTCTCATGTCCCAGACTCGTCTCCTCCCCTCTCGGCCGACTGCGGCGGCGTCTCTGAACTCTGGGGTGGGATCGGGGAGAGGTAGAGAGGGGAGACTGGGTTCGGAAGAAAGAGGACTGTCTGCTGGAAATGGATCGGAACGGCGGGGGTGGACGGAGGGGGGGGGGGACACCAAGGGGTCCGTGTTCTACCGTAGGAGGTTCATCTGGCGGACAGATGGTTGAAGTGGCTGACTGACTGTTCGGAAACTGCCATGCCTATACATATATAGTTCTGAAGCCCCTGAAGGAGATATCGTAGTACTAATGCAATTTACAGTGTAAACGGGAATGGTGACCGGTGTTGTCAGTCTTATTTTGTTTCATTCATTCATTCGTTCAATTGCATTTCAGAACATTCACCTTCGCCCAGACGCAGTCAAATGTATCCCTTGCTTCGGTCCCCTATGTCCACCTTGCCTCTTTCTCTCGAACTCACCCTGTACCGTACCGCCTCCGTGGTATCTCTGTTCTCACCGGTGTCGTCTTATGTCCGCAGACGCGCCATACATCGCCCAGGACTCGGGAGTGGTCCGGACCGCTCACGGTATGACTGCGGAGGTCGGCTGCAAGGTGTTCGCCAACCCCCGAGCCGAGGTGAGCTAACCGACCAGTTGTGGATCGAGCCGAGGTGAGCTCACGGACTAGGCTGGACTCCGAGCTGCTGTGAGCTCACCGACTAATGTTGCCGCGGGCTTATTTTGATTCAACGGACTTATTTTAGCTCCAAGCTGAGGTGAGCTTCTGACCTAACTCAGAGTGGTGAGCTAACCGACCAGTCTTGGCTCCGAGCCTAGGTGAGCGTTAGTAGCCATCTCTACTATAGCCAGAGGTCACTGCCCGAGAGCCCCAGATCAGATGAATTTGACGATTAATTAGCCAGGATGTCGTTACCGTGCTTGGAACATATGTAAATGAAAGGGACGTGAAAGCACATGACGTCGAAATCCGTTTGTCCACCTCGAGAGCAGCCAGGCACCTGACGCTCGCAGCGCTACCTGTCTTAACCCTCGCCGGCCGAGGGGGGGGGGGGCGGGTGCCGCCCCCCCCCCATAGGGTTTTTTTCGCGATAGCTCCGAACACGCTGGCGATAGAGAGCTGAAACTTGGCATACCTGACCTTTGATCCAAGCCGGATCTTTTGACACCAACCGCATTTTTGGGTCAGGTCAGGTCACTGACCTATTACGTCATAAGTGAACCTCTGCACGGTCTTCAGATGTCGCAACTTCGCAACGCCCTCACTGCCAGAGGAGATGTCACAGGGAAATGAAACTTGCAGGATCTAGTATCCATTATGAGTCTCACAACTTGTATATCTCGGATTTTTCCTAAAGGTCATATGAGGTCAGGTCATTTTCGTGACCTCACCATTATAAGTCAATGGGGAAAAATGAAAACTGCTATTCTGGCGCCGGGAACGATCTCCAACTATCTCAAGCACACAGAATCGTGATTTTATGCACTCCTTGCAAGGTTAGATGCGTCACTTTTGCAATGTTGACCTTGTGTGACGTCATTTATGACGTCATCAAGGTCATATTCGTTTTTCGTCAATAACTCTTGATCAAATTGAGCTAGCGAGTCGGGAAAGCCATCAATGGACTCAGGAAGACCTGCCGAATCGAATGATATGCGACATGACCTCTTTCGACCTACTTCGTGACCTTAGGGTGCTGACCTGACCTTGACCTGAGGTCAACACCCCAAGTTGACCTGACCCGAACAAAAAGTACATCATTCGACGCGCCTGAGCGAGGCGAACACGATGCTGCCAAAATCGCGTCTCTGCGGCCGTTTTTTGCGAAGTTATTCACCAAAAACTGAACCCTACCCTGGGGCACTTGACCTGACCTCAGAGGTCACCGGTTGACCTAGGACCTTAAAATCGGGTACCAATCTCTGCGTCTCGTAACGGCGCACACGCTCGTTTTTTCCGCGACGCGCTAGCTCCACCAGGGGCGAAACGGCGAGGGGGGGGGGGGTCGTACCCGCCCCCCCCCCCCCCCCTCGGCCGGCGCGTATGTAGAAAACCAATAGGTCCGGCGAGGGTTAACTGTGCTTCTGATTTTGACCACCAGGTGATCTGGCAGCGGAACGGTCACGATCTGCCCATTAGCTCCCGGTACGAAACTGCCGTGTCCAGCCGCTATTTCTCGCTGAGGATCCGTGACGTGAAGGATGAGGACTTTGGCAACTACACGTGCCGGGCCAAGAACCAGCTGGGACAGAACGAGAACCATATCACGCTGACAGGTACGGAGCGTGGGCGAGAGGCACTGACAGGACCGTACTAACTATCACCGTATTGTGTGATCGCTGCGAGACCTGAAAAGTAGTAAAACTGAAAAATTGATAGAATAAGATCAGAAGCATGCTTGCTGGCATTTCCCAATGCACAATTAACCCATTAATGCCGCTTGGGTCATATATGACCCAAAAGCAACATCTTAACATTTTTCCTAAATGGAGGCAAGTGGCACTTTGAGGAACTTGTGCGTGTGTTTTGTTGGATTTATGGGTTCAGCGACGAGCGTCGGAGCCGCATAAAACTCGTGTGAGCTCGTCCACTGAAGTTTCTGGAGCCAAAGACGACGGGACTGCACAGCCGCCGGTCACTGGCAATGGCGCGCCGTCCCAAAAAGTAATATTATGTTATGTTTGCACTTAACTATCTGTTGAATGATCGTCCACCTGGCATCTAAATTTGTCTGAAAAAGACATGATGTATATTTTTGCCCTTCTTGTCGCCATCGGATAACTTTTTTTCCTCGATAAATATCCTTGGGTCATAAATGACCCAGCCGGCAATAGTGTTGTCAATTTTCTCGTATGTTGAATACAAGGGAAGCAATTGATGATTATACGATTATTTATTTCTGGGGGTTGTGATCAGATCACAGTGGCGGATCCAAAGGCGGGGGGTCATATGGGTCACTCATGACCTCCCCTGGGACCCGGAGGCACCACCGACCTATCAGGGGTACCACAGGCTTAGTGTTGCGATGTTGGGATATCATGAGCGGACCGGTTGTCCGGGGCCGTGACACGGGGCGGGCCGGCGACTCGGCCGGCCGAGGGGCACCACGGGCCTGTCAGGGTTACCACAGGCTTGTTAGGGGCACCACAGGCCTGCAGGAGCACCATCGGCCTAGCAAGAGCACCACAGGTATGTCAGGGGGCACCACAGACCTGCCAGGGGCACCAGCCAGAGGTCTGCCAGGGGCACCATCGACCTCACAGGGGCACCACCAGCCTCGCACGTGCACCTTGGGCTTGTAAAGGGCTCCACGGGCCTGTCGGGAGCACTTCAGGCTTGTCAGGGGCACCACAGTCCTGCCAGGACCCAGGGGCACCAGCGGCCTAACAGGAGCACCACAGGCCCGCCAGGGGCACCGCAGGCCTGCCAGGGCACCACAAACCTAGCAATGGCACCACAGACCTGTCAGGGGCTCCACAAGCCTGTCAGGGGCACCTCAGGCTTGTCAGGGCCCAGGGGCACCACAGTCCTTCCAGGGACACCACAGGCCCGTCAGGCCTATGGTGTCCCCTCTGGAGCACCAGAGGCCTAACAGGGGCACCACAGGCCTGCCAGCGGCACCAACGGCGTCGTCAATGAGACGTTGCAAAGCATTGCAATGCAGTGCCTCTTAATATTGTTTGGCTGAGACCGCTATACAGTATACAAAATAAGGTATCTAGCTAAATCGGTTGTCGTGATAACTCCTTATTTGTGACTATGCCAATGCCGGTTGGGTCATTTATGACCCATACTTATAATTTGAGAACCGATGGAACAATTTTTTTAGCTTGCACAGTTTTCTTACTGGGACCCGTGTGGCTTACATTTGTTAAGGACAACTAAAGAATCAAAAAATAAAAATTCCGGCATTAATGGGTTAATGAGAGAGTCGACTCAAGTCATTCGTGGTAGATATTACGGCCTAAGGTGACACAAATCACTAAAGTAACGACTGCCGTTCACTGTCTTCTGAATATGTGACCGATTGCTCTGCAATGAGTGCTGAATAAGAAGCGGCTACTTGTACCCGTGTACCGCACGATCTCGGCTGTTCTCCGTCCCTCACTCTGTGCGCGTCCTGCAGGTCTGCCGGGCCCGGTGGAGCTGCACCTGGGGAAGCCAAGCGAGGCAGAGAGTGGACGAGGTCAGAGCAGCACCACCGTCACCTGGGAGTTCATCAGCTACTCGACGGTGGAGGAGACGTCCGTCACGCTGCAGCCGCTGCTGCCGGTACGTAACGTTACGCTGTCTCACTATCACACTGTTACACAATCCGTGACGCTGCCGCTGCTGCCGCTACGTAGCGTCACAGATTCTGTCACACAGACCGTCACACTACAGCCGCGGCTGCCGGCATGTAACGTCACACTGTCACGCCGTTACACACTCCGTGACGCTGCAGCCGCTGCGTAACGTCACAGATTCCGTCGCACTATCCGTTACACACTACATAGTCTCACCATCAGTCATACTGTCGGTCATATTACAACCGTCTGCTGCTGTTATGGGGGCGGATGATACTGCGAACGTCATGGAGAAAGCGTCAGGACAGAGGTCTCACGACGGAAATGAGCTCTTAATTGAACAACAGACCATCACGAGAGACTGGCTGAATCGTGTTCAATGAGAACTGCAGTCCTGAAAAAACTGAGGGTACATTTTATGATATATGACGTTTATAACGTGCCCTCACCCTCCGATCACTGACTCTGCCCCCTCCCTCCCCTCCCCCGGCAGGCCGGCTTCCCCGAGATCCGGCGAGTACCCACCGTCACATCCCGCTCCGTCTCCAAAAAGGGCCAGCAGCAGCTGTCGCCACTGAACGAGAACACCACCTACCTGGTGCGGGTGGCCGCGCGCAACCAGTACGGCTGGACACCGCCGGCCGATGTCTACTTCAGCATCACGGACGGAGAGCTGAAAATCACTCAGGGTGAGTGGCGCCGGATGGACAGCGCCCGGTCACCGGGAGGGCGAGGAAAGGGAGGGGGAGAGAGGGAGGGTGGGTGAGGGCAAGGAGGGAGGGCAACGAACAGGGCGAGTCGCAATACGTGATCTCCGAGGGTTCTTAGTCTCTGGTTATTGGTCATGGCGGAATACTTATGCTCAATATTCATGATATCGCCTGTTCAGCTCAGTTACCTGATTATCGTATAACCAGCGCCTCTGGCGGCGACTGCTGACACTAAAGCTTCCCTTTTCTCCGTTGCAGCGCCACCGAAGCTGGCCGAGTCGAAGACTGCCAGCGACGCGGCGGCGCGGCTAAAGCTCACGCCGATCCTTCTCATCGCCATCCTGTCGAGTTTTTTCTAGTGATCACCTATGAGGTGAGTGCTCACCTTTCCCTCACCTGTGAAGTGAGGTGAGGAGGTCATCCTCCTCGACCTTTCAGTTCCGACGCTTACTTAATGGTCCGTTCGATCTGCTCTCCAGTTGGTCAAAGTCGAAAACACAAAGAAGAAGAAGAAGATGGAATGTGTGGTGTTTTCGCCAAACATGCTCGTTTGCTGAGTGTTTTTGTTTGAGATGTTTCCATTCACTAACTGTTGTTGTTTGTGCCCCGGCAGTGAAGGTCGTTCAGAGATTGTGCCACTCGCACTACCCCAAGTGACTAACCTCGTTTTGTATCCGTTTGCCACACCGCTCACAAAAACAAATTCACAGGCCACAACTTGAAAATTGATATATCAGAGCCATCAATCATACTAAAGATGCGATACTTTCGGGTCAGCTTTCTTACCCTCCGTATTGGGTATTACTCGCATACGTAAAAAACGGCATAAACTTTGTACCCTTTACCCATTTTACCAAGTACTCATACAGCCCTCGTCTCAATGTGCGATAGGTATCTACCACGTACTGAGAGGAGGACTGTATTTACCCGCAGCCGTAGTTGTTTTTAGCAGACAGTGCATATCATTCGGATCGCAACATACATCAATTGCTGGCGTTTTCTGTTCCATGTCCCGCTTATTAACTCGTAATAACCGTATTTTTCAGACTGCCAACACCCTGCTTTGAATAGGTGAGTGGCGATTTTGCCAACTAACCATGCATGGACCGTGCATCGGAGGGCCTCAGTAGGTGTGATTGTTTATCAGGAATCAGCCATAAGGTCCTGTCTCGTCGGCGCTCCGCGAATAATTGACATGTCACCCATTTAGAGCGCAGCAATGTTTCCGGAGGGTGTAACATACCGTGTAAACCTGAAGGTGCAAAAGTCAACAGATTTAGTGAGGCAGGCGTAAATGCCAGAAAAAGTACTTTTCCGCCTCACAGCGTATCTCATTTATGCTTTTATGTAAATGCGCTCTTAAATGCCAGCCTATCAGGAGTATTTTGCGAGCTGGACTACGCGCTCCCTGCAGCCGCTGACTGTCATCTTCTGCTCCGCAGGTCGGAAAGAGAATCCTGTGCCACGTCAGCGCGCACGTCCTCTTCAGCGAGGAGATGGGAGGACGTGACGTGCCCTTCTGAGCACGGCCTGCCGCGTGACGTCTCTGAGACGTGACGTGACGTAGGCCGTCTCTGCAGAGGGCGGCGCTGGCGGGGCGCGGAGCCGCGGCGGAGCGGCCAGTGGAGCCGCTCCTCGGAGACCAGCCGTTCAGCCCGGCCCTCAGCTGGCACCGGCACAGAGTCACCGGCACAGCGGCTACTGACAGACAGACAGCTGCTGCCCAGCTGCCAGACAACCAGCTGCTCAGCTGCCAAACAACTGTTCAGCTGTCAGACAACTAGCAGCCGCCGCCAGCGGCAACTGTAGCTTCCAAACAACCTGCTGTCACTACTGTTGCCAGGCAACCAGCCATTACATCAAGCAGCTGTGTTACCCAGTGTCTGACGACGAACTGCAGTTGCTTTTCGTAGCCGGGTAGTGTTATTTCGTTGCTAAGCAACCAGAACCGCTGTCGGACCGCCGGCTGAGGAGCCACCTGTTGCCGCGACGGTTCTCTTGCGACCACATAGGTGACAGAGACAATGTGAACTGGGACAGAGACGATGTGAACTGAACGCGCGCGCGCGCACGATACCGGTGCAACTGTGATGGTTTCTATATTGTTGGAACGTGTGCCAAGGATGAGTGCGGATGTAAGTGTATGTGAGTGCGGCAGTAGTGAGGGTGAGGAGAAAAGATTGAGTTGAGTTTTCGGTGTTTGAAGGCACTCTGCGGGTTGAAGAAATAACGAGGGCTAGGGGTGTGAACTTTTATCTGCCCGTGCCCCCGTCATGTTCTGTATGGATCGTTCGATTCATTGATTTGAACTGGTCGAAACTGCCATCGACGAGTGAGAGATACTAAATGCTATTGTGAATGTCATCGCTTTACACTGTAGGCTGGGTGAATCGGTGAGCACATGGAATGTCGTACAACGAAAGCTACCTACGCTTCACAACCGAAGCGTGCTTGTGTGTCCTTGGCATGCATTTATATCGGTGCGTTTGTATTATATCTTTGTCGGAGTGAATGCACGCATTGACGTATCGAATTCGTATCATCGATAAAAAATACATTTCGTCCATCGATGTTTCGAAGGGGTCTTTTTCAAGTACTTCATACGTTCCCGACGGCCATGCTAGCACGTTTGAGACTGGCAATGTCGTATAATGATCGTCTTAACTTGTCGATGACAGATTGTTCTACATTACCCGGTTAAAACCATTCGATACTGGATCGTATAGAAACGTGACAACGGCATTTTAAGACCAACGGAGCTGAATGGATAATGGTCCAAAAAGGAAATAAATGTACAATACGTTGGCTCAGCCAACACTTTATTCATTTTACATTAAAATTAGCACAGAGAGAAAACCAGCCGTTGTATGAGGCGCGACGTGAGATACACAATGTCCATCTGAGCGCCGCCGAGCGCTCTTCACGTCCTTCCCATCGAGTCCCGGCGGTGCTCCCCGCTTCCCGCACCACCGACCCCCTCACTTGAACACCACCGTGTCCAGCATGGCGCCCAGACACTGAACGATGTTGGACGTCATCAGTGTGCCGACCTTCTCCTCTAGATGGCGCTTGGGGTCCATCTTGCCGACGTTCTTGATGGCCAGCTGCTCGGGCGTCATGGACTCCTCATCCTCGAGCGACTTCTGGTAGTTGACGGCCAGGTCCAGCATCTGCTTCACCGTCTTCTCGTTGACGTCGCAGTGCTGGCGGTAGTCCTGCAGCTGAAGGCCGTCCATCCACGTCTCCTTGTTGAGGTTCATCAGCATCCGCTGCTCCAGCTCGTTCTTGCGGTAGTTGATGGAGATGGAGTAGTAGTGTCGGTTCAGGCCATGGATGAGCGCCGGCAGCGAGGGCTTCTGCAGGTGCCCCAGGTTCGAGGTGGTCTGCCGCGGCTCCTGGCCCAGCACCATCACGTTCGGGTTGATGAGACGGAACGCGTCAATCACCACCTTGCCCTTGACGGACTGGATGGGGTCGACCACCACGGCCACGGCGCGCTCCGAGAGTGCCTCGAAGCTCTGCTGGGTGTTGATGTCGACGCCGGAGAGCCAGCAGCCGAAGCCCGGGTGGGAGTGGTACCAGCCGACCACCATCTCCGGCCGGCCCGTCTGCTTCAGCATGTCCAGCATCTTGGCCTGGAACACCGGGTCCACGGCCTCCACGGATACGCCGGTACCCGACTGCGGCATGGCGAACACGTCGATCACTCGCACCGTGTACTCGTCGACAAACTCGCCCAGCATCAGACCCATCACCTCCATGGGCACGCCGGCGCGGCCGTGCTTCAGCATCTTGAGCAGCGCCAGGGATGAGATGTACACCTGCTCGGCTGTGTCCACCGTCGGCCCGTCGCCGGACGGCGCCTGCTGGCCCAGGTTGGGCATCCCACCGCTCAGCCGCAGTATGCGATCCATGGCAAGACAGCACCTGGGGAAAACACAGGAGCCGTGGGGTCAGAGGGGCGGGTGCGATCAGACCAACATGGGTAGCACGGGGTACAGGTTAGTGTCGACACAGGTCACCTGGTAGTTCGAGCTTTTCATGTCATGACTGGCTGGTCAGTACAGATCACATGGTCAGGTTACAATGGATCACTCTCAGTGTTTGGTCTATCATTTCCAGGCATGGTCCCTGCCCTGGAGAATAAAATATAGGTAGTCAGAGAATCATGACTTGCATGTTCGATAAGAAGCTAAGAACTGCCTGCAGTACAGTACCAAATAACTACTGGAAACTAGCCATCACAGTTTCAATCAGAAACCCAGAAAGAAGTCCTAACTGCTTTAAGATGTAAAAAGAGATCTAATTTAAAACATTAAGCATTTGTCAAATTAGTCAGGTCATAATCATACATAACATACATTGTAAAATAAAGAATAAATGTGAGTCACAGTGCAAATATAAAATTTAGTCACAGATGCCTTAAGAACTAAGTACCCTTTAGCATTAGTTCCAGCATAAAATACAGAGGTTGTCAAAAGGATGTCCCTTTTTACCCCAAGGGCGAGCATGAGATACATTTATAACCAATCACTAAACAAGTTGGTAAAAATATAAATTGAGTCCGAGTGACTGTTAAAAGATAGTTTTCATATTCTTACATCATTTGACATCCTGAATCCAAAAATGATACTTAAATGTCTTGGAAATAAAAGAAAAACATAATCAAACCTGACCTAACCTTACCTATTTACCTACAACCTACCAACCTACAAACCTACAACCTAACCTAACCTAACCTACAAACCTACCAACCTAAAACCTACAAACCTACAACCTAACCTAACCTAAAACCTAATTTTTTTGCTGTTACATATTTGTATCAACAGCGTCACAATTGTCCACTCGGACCTAATATATACTAATACCAACAAGTTAACCAAAAATATAAAATAAAGTCAATGAGCTGTTTTCTTTGTTGTTAACTCTTCTACCCTAAAACAATCCTGGCACTAGAAACTCAAATAATTTAGTCCAAGCTTTCAGCATACAAGCAATAAATTTGGAAATTGGCATTTTAGCCTGTGATACACTCGTGCATTTTGTTAGGGAAATTAAAAATGGCTGTGGTCCAAAATTGTAACTAGAGCCGCATTAAATGTCTATGAAGTGTGACACCTTTTTACGACTACCAAAGATTCTACGTCATCTGGCCAATGCAGTTGCCATTTTTAAACATCATTGGCCCAGAGCATGTAGAATCTTTATCATCTGAGAGACATCAAACGCGGCCTGGGTACCTTAGCTTCATTGCTCCATGTCAGTCGGGGAAACTATGGTAAAATCTGCTATTTTTAGCAGTCTGCTATTTTTAGCAGAAATCTGCTAAAAATGGGTACGCATGTCAGTAGGCGGAACTATGGTCGTGAGTACCCAAATATAGGAACGTTCCCATTTTTGGGAACAGAGTTCCCAAATATGGGAACGGGCGTTCCCATTTATGAGAACGGAAGGCAATTTTTCAGCCGTTCGCCCACTAAAACTCAAAAGTGCATCACGTCTCAAAAAAGTGCACGCTGATTTAAGTATCTAGTAAATTTCCATAAAGTTATCTTTAATCTCACCGTGGAACAAGGAAATTGACCGTGGAATGATATTTTTAATGATTTTTTAAAAATGACAGAATGGTGGAAATATGGGTTATACGACATTTAACATGCAATTTTAAGGAAAATGAAGCATTTTTTACATTTTGAGGTCAAGTATAATAATTTTCGCCTGGTTATGAAGTTTCATTCTAGCGACACCAGATGCTGACATATGCAAGCGAACACGCGGACAGTCCCGAGGTAATATTGTTGACTTTTGGTGTCGGGGCGATCGACCGCGTGGAACGTCAGTGATTTTACCGAACTACTGTTGTAAACTCAGTTTCAGTGGTTTAAAATCATTCAGCTGTATTTTATCAGCCCTGAAAGACATATTTTGTTTGGATGCTAGCTGTTTAGCGTTGTTTTATAAGCAGCGTCATGAGCGTGGTTTTTGTCTTCGGCGTTTCTAAGCATGATCGTTTGGTGGGAATTTCTCTGATATAGGTCGCTCTGTGTGGCTTATTTATAATTTTTATGCTGATTTCGATCATTCCTCGTGCCCATCCTACCAGGCCTTTTGCCACTTACACTCATTAAGAAAGGAAAAAACTAGATTTTCATTGGGACTAGGTGTTTTGAGGGTGTAACATATTCAGCGTTCCCATTTTTGGATACTTCTTGTGCTCGTCAACTCTCGGTGATTAGCAGACAGGTGCTTGACATGTCTCCACCCTCGGCGCGGACGGTGGATATAGGTATGGAAGACCTTGTTGAACATTGCTGAGCGTTGTGGATTACGTAATCCTGCAGAGGGGGGCGTGCCCGCTGCGAGATCGACGGGAATAAAAGCGCAGAAGACCGGGCGAAACATGCAACGGTCTTGCCGGAAAGGTCATCTGATGATTGTTGCGTTAACAATAATTTGCGGCGTTGGACGTGATGCTTGTTAATGAAAAGAGCCCCTGAAAGGCGTCGGTGAAATCGTTCCCAATTTTGGGTACGCCGTTCCCATAATAAGGAACGCTTGCAGCGCCAGTGTACGAGAGCGTTCCCAAATTTGGGCTCGCGGCCCGGGTGATGGACTGCTTTAGAAATAGGGGAACGATTTGAAACTACGATGGGCCTTACAATATCAAACTCTTTCCCAACAATATTGAGACAACTATCAGGCGGTTCACGATCGTTTTATATTTTTTGGACGTCATTTAACGGTTCTTTTTCTTGTTTTAAATAATGCCTACATGGCGTTCCCATATTTGGGTTTATCGTTCCCAAACATGGGAACGAAAATGCGTTCCCGAAAATGGGTACGCTTGACCATAGTTCCGCCTACTGATGTGACGTCATCGTACCCAAATATAGCAGATTTGGGTACGGCCCCATACAAAAGCAGATCTGCACCCTAATTGAAGCAAATGCGCATCAAATGCCTGGCAGATTCATGATTAGAATAGTGCTGAGAATGTCCTCTGATATTTTTGTTCAGATCCGACTATTTTCAAATAATGAATTTGAAAATAGTCGGATCTGAACAAAAATAGCAGAGATCACTCTCAGCACTATTCTCATCATGAATCTGCCAGGCATTTGATGCGCATTTGCTTCAATTAGGGTGCAGATCTGCTTTTGTATGGGGCCGTACCCAAATCTGCTATATTTGGGTACGATGACGTCACATGCGTACCCATTTTTAGCAGATTTCTGCTAAAAATAGCAGACTGCTAAAAATAGCAGATTTTACCATAGTTTCCCCGACTGATGTAAGCCAAAATGGGGACCAATCCAGACCCTTCACTAACATGGAGCAAAATATAATGAAGTCCTTTCATCCGTCATCGCGTAGGAAGAGAGCATTGGCTCTATAGGAACCTTGCATTGTCATTCAATGGAAAATAAACGTTTGCCTAGTTGTAGTACAAATGAAGGCAGGGAACTTCCAATTCACATTCACATAATTTCAAAACGTACCTACCTACCTGGCTAGGTACCTACCTTTTACAAACGTCAGGAAAGTCTCACAAGCCGAATAACACAGCACCGTTTAGAAGATTTATGCTACCAACATATATGATGCGACTCAATAATTAATATATTCAAGACAAAGACAACTCAAGTACAAAACAAGGCTATATAACTCCGTACAAAATGCAAAAATAAATTCGCTAATTCCGCAATGCAATTGCCGGCGGCCGGCGATGACTGGCGTCAGGGACAAATGTGGATCCATTCATGCGCCGCAACTGGCGATTCTTATTTTGCTGACATAAAGTAGTTGAACAAGAAATGCAACACTATTCAACTGCAATCCTCGCAATTATCATATAGGTAACTCAGCATTTGCTGAGTTAATTGCACTCATAATTCCCCATATTGGTATATTACATCAATTTTCATCATTCCAAGTGTAATTTGGGGCTTAGCTAAGCGTGAAAACATCGTTTGATGTAGGTAATTAATTCATTTAGGATAAAACCTGTAATCGCCGCTCTGTAGGATGTGGAAGGCTTGTGATGTAAGTAGGTTGTACCTACATAGCTATCATGCATTGCATACAATTCACAAACAAACATACATACTGGTCAATTTGACAGCTGGACGAGAGAGAGAGAGAGAAGAGAGGCGGAATGAGACTTTCCCGTAGCTTGTCCCGTAGCTCAGATGGTAGAGCATCGGACTCCCGGAAGTGAGAGCCCGGGTTCGAGACGCTCCGGCGCTCGATATTTGAGACTCCTGATGGGGAAGGTCTGCGGTTGGTGGGAGCAGCCGCAGCCAGTTGAAGTCAGTTGAGTGGGACAGGCCGTGTCCGGCTTTGAAGGGCACGTTAAACTTTGGCATCTAAATTCTCCCGTTACCCGGAATTGCGCGATCGGACGGTAGGGGTCGGGGTCTACGCAACAAGCTCTGCTTAGCATGGGCTCCGGCTCTGTCAATTCGTCCATTCAAACATTCGAGCTAAATTTATAAAAAAATGTTTATCGCAGCTCGCCTCGGGACCAAACCAATTAGGGGACTTCAGATCTCTTCTGGCTCATCGAACCCCATGTTTTGACAATCAGCCCTCGGAGCGCCGGCTAATTGGTCGTCAAATGATCGGACGAGGCCGGTAGACGACACTGACAGAATGTGGCCACTCATTCTGTTTATCACGCACAGTTTATCACGCACTGGTAGTGGGACGCCGCGCTGCCCAGAATTAAGTGCCTATAACGGGAGCCTGTCCGAAACCTGACCGGAATCGGAGTGTCACCGTCTGGGACCAACGGGCCTGTCCGATGGCCGATAGCTGGGGTAGGCCTGGCATGAGCCTCCCTCTGCGCTGGCACCGTTCGGTCGCCTGAAGCGCCGAAAGCAGAGGAGGCGGAAGCAAAAAGCGGTCGGGAGCGGCAGCTATAGGACGGTCGGTCAGTCTGCGATAGGAGGCCGCGGCGTCTGGCCACGGTTCGTGTGGTCTCCACCGAGCTGTCGTCTCCCGAAAGGTGAGTGCTACAATTCAGACACACACGCACACACACACACACAAACACACCCCCACACACACACACACACACGGCAAACGCTGTGACCTCTCGGTCCCCAAACGTTTATTCATGTATTATTTCGCATGGCCGATCCGTTAACACTAAAAGACGTTTACTTCTGTATATGATAATATATTATCATAGGTATATGTCGGACGTCGGTGTGGTTCAAATAAATTGTACGGTGTCGAATACGATTCGAATCCGAATGCAATTGGGCGGCCCGAATAAATCAATCTTCGGACACTTCGTCAGGTACGTTTTGGTGTCTGCTAATTATCCTCATGCTGGCACATCGCTTCGACGTCCGTTGAATCATCCTCCGAGAACTTTATCCGTATATCTCGTTCATTTGTGCTGTAGATGTTTTCCCTTCGATATTAAATGATGCTTGATTCAGCGAGCCGGTGGCGAGGTCCTATTCTAGCTATCTTGAATGATTCTAGGTAATAGCACAGCCTTCGAGTTATTCTCGGTTTTGTCGAAAAAAAGAATTGGTACCTAAAGCCGGCAGGAGGAACTCTGCGCCTATTTAGGGTTTTGTGCTGGTGCGTCATCGGAGCGTCGCTGAATAGACAGGTTCGTCGAGGCAGCTATATCGATCGAAGAGGGGAGGGGAGGGGAGGGGACAGGAGGGGAGGGGAGGGGCCAGCCGAGCGGCCCGACGCGTCAGCACTCGTGTCTGAGCCGCAGCCCCTCCAACAGTGCGCTGTGTTGGTGTGCTGTTCCTGTTCCCCAGCGAACAGAAGATGTTAGTGTCGTGTGAATTGTTTGTAACCGGCAGCGGAGCGAAAAGTAATCCAGTAACCACATCGCAATAAAACTGCAGAGACGACCGATTTTCAACCAGTGAGAATCTTTTGTCCGAAGGTATCTAAAGCCACCTTCATCATAGTGTACTTAATATGGATCGGATATTCGTTACTACAAGACTATCTCCACAGGTATGTTTCGTATGTATTTAATTGTGTCAACGGAGCCATTAGAAGTGCTTTTGGTCCATTAGAGTTGCATGTTAAGTTGCTGTTAAGTGCGACGTTCATTGCTTTATTTTTTGCCGCTACGTTTTGAGCGGACAGACTTGAGACCGAATCCAAGCTAGCAGGGGCAGAGTAATGTCATATATATCCCAGGGGGTGCCTTTCCAGCACCTGGCAAATGCAAACGTCCAATTATTGCGTGGAATTTGGAAAAGCACATATAGGTACGTTTTCCCAGCAGCATCACTCTCCTCGCGACAACCACCCCTGCCGAGCCACCTATGTAATATGTTTCTAGCGCCTAGTTAGCATCTGTTGATGCGTGTCCGCCGGCTACCGTTTGCTGTAGTTTCAGCCAAGACCCTAAAACTACGTTTCAGCGACGCCTTCGAGTCAGTTTACACGTGTATTTGTCATTGCTATCGTTTTCGATAGGCGGTAGACGATAGACATAACAACCACCCAACACGAACAAAAGATACTTCGCCGACAACACTCCCATCCACCAATCACTGTCCGCGTTAGTGCACCGTCGGCGTCCGCTGGTATTTGTCACGTATTTGTATTGTAATCACGTCCGCTGGATAGCTGTTCAATGCAGCTGCTCTACTGCATAGAGCTGCCACTTACCATACACAAATCGGGACCGAGCTGAGCGGGATGGGTTCTCTGCACTTTGCAGCAGCACAAGGTCAGGCAGCGGGCCTCTCAGAGATGACGGTGTAGGAACCGGTCCTAGCGGCGACTCAGGCGGCGGCGCGCGCGGGCTGGCTGTGGCCTGTGCACGGGCCGGTTCGACGACGTACGTACGCTCCTCTGTTATCGTGGTTCGAGTGGCTGGTCGGCGGTGACGGGAGGACTGGCAGTCAGAGTGGACCTCGACTCAGACGCAGAGGATAGCGGAGACGAGTGACGAGTGGTGGTTCTCTAGTGCAGCAGCTATACCTTGCGTGGTCGTGTCCTCAACAGTTCAGTGGCACAGGTAAACAGGTAGGGATGATAATGAGGTAACTGTTTTCACAGAGACTCTGAAGCGGCGACCGCCGTCTGGACTGGACGGACTGGAGAGGGGCGATCGTCCTTTCTCGGCTGCTGGCAGCACAACCACTGACCGCTGACCGACTCCCGGGTCTCTTCTGATCACCTCCGAACGTCAGCCGTAAGCTACTTAGCGGTGTGTTTTGATGTGCTTCAAGTGCCCATCACTCGTTTATTTTGATCTGTGACATGTTTGGAGATGCATATGCCTGTTGTGTATAAAAAGGTTAGATATATGTACGACTTACGACTATTCGTGCGTTGGATAGGTACTGATTTTAATAGTCAACCAACCAATAAAAATGCATTCAAAATATATTCGATTGAAAAGAAACACAAAACCTAGGGAACCATGATCATTGATCTCTGTATAAATGAGTACAAATAATTGCTGTAATCGTCTTACGAATTTACCTCAATCGATCGCGAGAAACCCGCGATCTTCGGCTATCGTCCAGCGGTGAGCGGTTCTTGACGACCCTAATGAAATTGATGCTTCTATTTTTATATATTGATAAGTAAACGGTGATTTTTTTGCAGGCTACCGCGATGTCGGCCTTCAGCGTTCAAATCGAACGCGTTCCATTCGGAGTGCTTTCCGAGAACGGCTTTGATGCCCAGGTGGACAAGTTTCAGTTGACCGGTGAGTATTTACCAACTGACATATAGGTACAGAAACGCGTAAGTCTGGGTACCTTATTCGGCTCTATGCGAAACAGCACAGATAGGTACACTTGTGCACCTGTTATCACGGATTGGTATGATCTCTGCTCGCCGGAATATTTTCAAAATATTTTTTTTTTGAATTTTTACATTAACTAGAGTGACATCACATAAAAGGTATGTTCAAACACCTAAAATTTACCCAATCTTCTACCCCATCGTGCAATTAGTCATTTTCATTCCTTGCTGACGACTACGTCTACAGTTGGTTCTCCCTCATCCAGTACAGGACGGTGCCCGAATGACGCGCTCCGGACGATATCCAAGGTGCGTGCTTATAATCACTCCCCTGCACCTTGTTCAGCACCAGAGTGCCCCACCGTTCACCACGCGCCGTGCCGGTGGTAGTGAGGACTGTAAATTCATCCAAGGCTCTCAGCCAGGGCATTCTCTTCTCAATGCCGCTGTCTTCGTAATCCCATCTGTCAAACTTGCGCACGAGCCTGATCTGCGTCTGTTCTCCCGTCTCATCCACGAAGCTGTAGTGTTTGGGAGCGAACCAAATGCCGCCCCAGCGCTGGCGACCCGTCTCCACCTGCGCCTCGATCCGGTAGGCGAACCGGGTGTCGTTGCCCAGGTCGCGGATGGCGTCACCGAGCTGGAGGATCGAGTAATTGTCGGTGAGCGATGGCGAGCGATCGTTGCGTTGTAAAACACTGAGCAGGTCCCAGCCATCTCTAGACACAGCCGTGAGCAGCAGCGTCCAGCCGCCGCCGTCGTGGCTGAAGTCGCACAGCACCGGCACCGGCATCCCGGTGAACCAGTAGACGCCGTCCTGCGGCGCGCCGCCCTGGTCGCGCAGTTGCAGACAGGAGCGGGCGCAGGCGAGCACCTCTGGTCGCTGATGGAGTGCCTGTCCTGCCGGGATCGGGCGCGGTGAGCGCTCACAGGCGGGCTCCGAGTCCGGTGCAGCGGAACTGGCGACCGGCTGCACCTGGAGCGCCGTCACCGCCGACCTCAGCGCAGCCATCTCCTCCAGAACCTCATCCAGGCGCCGTTCCAGTCGGGTGAGCGACCTGCCGGCCTGCGCGGCGTCCCTGGCGTCCAGCGCGCGGCCCACCGCTTCCTTCACGACGGGTCCGAGCAGCTCCGTCAGCTGGTCGGCCGCTGACGGCGGCGGAGAGTCAGACGATACAGCCACGGCCAGCACGGAGAGCGCCGCCAGCGCGCCGCACCACGTCTCCATGATCCACGGGCCCGCGGCCTATACACAGCAGCTGCAGCCCAGGACGGCGGCCCTGCGAGTGTGGCACTGTGGTGGCCACTGGCCGACCGTTGCAACACGGTCGCTCTGGCGCGGCGACCGTGTCTGGCGCTCGCGCAGTTACTGGTATTTCCGAGCCCGTCCCCGCTCCGAGGTCTGATGTTTATAATACACACCGGCCGGCACCGAACCCCACTGTCGGGAGGCCCGTGACGGAATTCCATCAGTGCCGTATTTATTTACACTGGAGACCGATGATGGGCCAATCGGGCCAGCCCGAATGTCTCAGTGTGTTTGGGCACACAATAAGTCTGGCTGATTCAATTTGTCAATCTTAAACAGACAGAGACTATCAAATTGTTTCTGGCAGGTATGCCGGTGAGTGCAGAAGGTATACAAAATAAGTCCCCGCCGTATGCAGGTCACCAGTGGGCAGGTAGCGCCTGACCGCTACTCGGGCGCCACCTGCCCGCATACGGAGAGGACTTATTGTGTAGACCTAATGTACATACATACATACCTTATCTAGGGAACATATATCCGTATACCTGTATGTGCATTTTGCAGTGTGCACCTCATACATGGAAGGGTAAAGATTACAACACCCGTCCCAGTATTGATGTCAAGAACCGCAGCCCTGACCCCCCCACCCTCTGTGCCTGCGCAGGTACGCTGCCGGGTCGCCCCCAGCCGGCTCTGGTGGCTGTCGTCTGTCCCCTGGGAGCCACTTTACTCTCCCTGCTCGTACCAGATGAGGACGGAAAAATGGATGACGTCACGCTGGGGTTCGACACGCTCTCAGGTAGCGTACGGATCGGCCGTCTGCTTTGCATGGAGAGAGAGGGAGAGAGATTAGGGAGAGAGGGAGAGAGAGAGAGAGAGAGAGAGAGAGAGAGAGAGAGAGAGAGAGAGAGAGAGAGAGAGAGATGGAGAGATAGAGAGAGAGAGAGAGAGAGAGAGAGAGAGAGAGAGAGAGAGAGAGAGAGAGAGAGAGAGAGAGAGAGAGAGAGAGAGAGAGAGAGAGAGAGAGAGGAGAGAGAGAGAGAGAGAGAGAGAGAGAGAGAGAGAGAGAGAGAGAGAGAGAGAGAGAGAGAGAGAGAGAGAGAGAGAGAGAGAGAGAGAGAGAGAGAGAGAGAGAGAGAGAGAGAGAAGGCGTGGCGTGACGCTTGCTTATTTTTCTTTGTAAACAAGCTGTGCAGCATACCTTAGTCCACATGTGTTGTTCATAACTTTGTCGCACTGACCGCAGCCCTTCCCGATCATCCCTCCGTCTCTATACAGGATCCGTCCCGATCATTATCCCGTCTCAGATTAGCCTCTACACAGTACCAGCTCCGTTCACTATGAAGTATGAAGTGACTATTCCGTTTCTATGCAGCACTCGCTTGTCACTATTTTATCTCTACACAGGACCCATCCCGATCGCCGTTCCGTCTCGCTTTAGCCTCTACACAGGACCTGCTCTGATCACTATTCTGTCTCGGTATACGGCAGAGTACCAGCAGCAGGATTCGTATATCGGCGCCACAATCGGCCGTGTGGCCAGCAGGATCGCCGGCAATCAGTTCCAGCTGGACAATGCGACTTACAAGCTGGCCGGCAACTCTGGCGGTTCTCACCTGCACGGAGGCATACGGGGCTTCGATAAGGTGACCGGCCAGGGTGTGCGACCTCCGTGCCGGGCCTAGTGACCTACCGTAACGCAGGCCAATAGTAACGCACCGTAACGCAGGCTAATAGTCTGGCTTCAGTATTTGGAAAATATTTTAACGAGGTGAGGGTTTTTATGGACTTTTTGGGGGCTAAATCAGACTCTAGATTTACCTTTAGGTACTCTAGTGGTCGTGTTCACGTGTTATCCCTATACTGCATAAATTCACATCGGTATTAACTGGTCTTGCATTATCCCTTTTGTTTTCATCATACCCATCACGTGCTCCATAACCTATTACCGCAACACCGACTCTGGATAACCGAAAGGAGAACAACAGTGTTCCCCCAGTCATGACCTGTGAGACCCATTCTGCTGCAGCGCCTGTGGTCGACCGATGTCGGCAAGGACTCGGTGACCTTCAGCTACCTCTCCCCCCACGGCGAGGAGGGCTACCCCGGCGACGTCATGGCACAGGTCACGTAAGTGTGCCCCCTAACTGTCCACTGTCCAGGGGATAATCGTGAGTTTTTTAAGTGACCCGTGGAGGCTCCGATTTCTTGAATTTCGACTGTGTTCAGTGTAAATAAGTGCAATGTAAAAGAATACATTGTGTAGCGTTAATAATTCAAAATATGTATAAGCTATGCGTTTGCACGGGAACGCTTTCCATAGTACCAAAAATATTACTAGCTAAATATGTCATTCATTTGAAGGGCAAATTGTGCTTTGAATTGTGCCTGTTTTGGTAATAGGGCGCAATAATTTTTTAGGACTATATCGATGCTGCACACAGCACAATCCACATGTTTTATTTCAAGTCAAGCATCTATAAAGTTAGATGCCACACTATAAGTTAATTGACGGCCATGAAATAGTTGCGTTAGTTTATCTCCTAGAAGGTTTATTTTTATTGTATCAAGCGTTTGAGAGCAAAGTAGGCAAAAAAAATTGACACCAAACAGAATCTAAGGGAGGAAGGGGCCCGGGGAACAAATGAACGAAGCGACAGACGATTACCTGACCTCCAACCGGTCCAGTGGCGCGGCGCTCATTGGTCGACGGCTCTGCGACCTGTCCAGTGCGCGGCGCTCATTGGTCGACGGCTCTGCGACCCGTCCAGTGCGCGGCGCTCATTGGTCGACGGTTCTGCGACCCGTCCAGTGGCGCGGCGCTCATTTGCAGAAGGCTCTGCGACCGACTGTGCTCCCTGTGGGCGGCAGGTACCGCCTGGTGCGCCACGAGGGTCTGGCGGCGCTCAGCCTACAGTACCGAGGTCTGGCGGGCGCAGCGACACCTCTGAGCATGACTAACCACGCCTACTTCAACCTGGCCGGCCACGTGAGTCGGCCGACCGGCCACGGGGCATCATTGTCAGCCTCAGCCCTCACAGGCCAGGGAGCGCCGCAGTCTGCGCTAACAGATGATAGAAGATGGTATTTGTTTTTGCCAGACGCCTGGCATGTGACTTGCAGAGTGTGTCTATTGCTCTCGCTGAGATTGGCTTATGATCTTCAAGAGTGTGAGCGTTGTTTTCGGCTGCCTACAGGAGAGCGGTGAGAAGGGACTCCTTCAGCATGACATCACCATTAGAGCCGACAAGAAGCTGGTCCTAGAAGGAGGACTCGCTAATGGTAAGCAGCTAGTGCGGCAACCGATCTATCACTAACGTTGGAGCTTGGTCCGTAGTGAAAACTGTCGATGACATTTGTTATCCCCTCCCCAGTTACTATCTTTCAAGATTAAATTGGTAGTGAGAGTAGGCGCTTTCCTGTATAAACTATCTTAACAATGTTAGCCGCCATTCATAACATAAACAGACTATGACAGTATATGTAAGCAGACTAGTATAGTATCTCCCGGCCTCCTAAGCTCTCCAGTGTGGTTCATTGGCGCCTGCTGTGGCAGGTCAGATGGTGAACGCCAGTGGCGCCCCTGGCGGCGGCTGGCCGCAGGGCGCCCTGCCGGACGTCATGGCCGCTAACGGTGGCGAAATAGACGACGTGTTCGTTCTTCCGACCGACGGAGGGCTGGACATGAAGACGGCTGCCACGTGAGTCCAACCCAAATGCCGGTATTTTTCGCTTAGTTACATCACAGAATGCCGTCAGGTATTGACATTAACCAATGGTAACAATCGTATTGAATGCTAACTCTAGTCCAGTTCACCTACCTTCACGGCACCGGGCACGCGTCAAGTGCGAAGTCGGAAGATATGTGTCAAAGTTATGTGGTGACCCAACAAAAGAGACCGTAAATCAATCGGTCCAGCGGTTGCTGATATACGAGTACAAAACTATGTATAAGCCTCTCAAAAGCGTTACAAGCCGGGTCGGGCCGATCATACTGCGATTTTCCCGTTATATTGAAAAGACTTCGTTTTGGTTGCATCGCTCGCTTGCTTGTAACTATAGAACTGTAGAAACACATAGGTACACAAACTTTGAAGGTAAAACGGTCGTCAAGTTAGATGTAAGTGAATCCTAATCTATAGGGGAGAGTGGGGCAAAGCGGCCACCCTAACGCTTCTCACGATGCCAACGCTTGATTTTTAAACTTGGAAAGATTCTTTCTATACCAGTGTGATCCCTATTAAGTTGCCTTTTATTTCAACTGCGTTTTAGTTCCAAAGGCGTACACATACGGAAGATATTGACCAAACTTTAAACCTATGCATATTGGCCACTTTGCCCCATACCCCGGGGCAAAGCGGCCACCGGCATCTTCTCAAGTCCCGATATGAGAAACAAAATAGTTGCCTCATGTACGACTGGGGTATTTGATGGTGACAAGGTTTGAGCGAGGATGGATGTTTACTTTATCATCTTCCACCTGTAGGTAAACAAAGAAAGGATTTTCATGAAAAAAAGCATTTAATTGCATTATTTGGTAACTCATGCAACTGAAAAGTGGCCAAGATGAATGCATGACGACACATTTGAATATAAATAATGTTTTTATCCAGATGGTAACAACTCATGGCCAATTGGGGGGTGGCCACTTTGCCCCGGCCACTTTGCCCCGTGCATACCGTCCGAGACAAAAATATTCCAGCTTAGCTATTAGTGGGGTAAAAAACATTAAAATTGGTAGAATACATGTACGATAACCATGCAATGCATGGACAAGAACGCTTATAAAAAATTCCAAACGGTTATGAAATAACGTAGCATTTAAAAATTATAAACATAGTTGGTAACCTGGCAAGAAATGCTTTTCCGTGTTTCACAGAACAATGGTGATGGGCCTGAAACCCCGGTCTGGCTCATGCGAACGACCGTGAAGAGAAGTATAATTGGAAAACATAAATTGGGACCGACGCCAGCTATGAAGGGCTTAAACGATGGATGGCCGCTTTACCCCGGGTGGCCGCTTTGCCCCACTCTCCCCTAATCTAAGATTCGGAATCAGGTGAGCCCCTACGATTTGGACCAAACTTGGTCAGTGGATAGTACGTAACGTCCTGATTACGATGCACCCAAAATCTAAGCTCGGCCCGCCATATTTACGAAGTTACGGATGTTTGAATTTCAAGGTCATTCGGGAGAGCCCCTACGATTTCCGTCAGAATTTGTGAACGGACACTCTAGATGCTCCTCATTACGAATATCACAAAATTTAAGCTCGGCCCGCCATATTTACGAAGTTACGGAGGTTTGAATTTCAAGGTCATTTGGGTGAGCCCCTGCGATTTCCGTCAAAATTGGTATACGGACATATTCCATCCTCCTCATTACAAATATCATAAAAGTTAAGCTCGGCCCGCCATATTTTTCAAGTTACGTAGTCACAAAGTTACGGAATTTCAAGGTCATTCGGAGAGCCCCTCCGATTTTCGTCAAAATTTGTATGCGGACACATTACATGCTCCTCATTACGAATATCGTAAAAGCTAAGCTCGGCCCGCACTATTTCAAAAGTTACTGAGGTTTGAATTTCAGTGATTTTCAAACTTCATTAACTTTTGAAATAGTGCGGGCCGAGCTTAGCTTTTACGATATTCGTAATGAGGAGCATGTAATGTGTCCGCATACAAATTTTGACGAAAATCGGAGGGGCTCTCCGAATGACCTTGAAATTCCGTAACTTTGTGACTACGTAACCTGAAAAATATGGCGGGCCGAGCTTAACTTTTATGATATTTGTAATGAGGAGGATGGAATATGTCCGTATACCAATTTTGACGGAAATCGCAGGGGCTCACCCAAATGACCTTGAAATTCAAACCTCCGTAACTTCGTAAATATGGCGGGCCGAGCTTAAATTTTGTGATATTCGTAATGAGGAGCATCTAGAGTGTCCGTACACAAATTCTGACGGAAATCGTAGGGGCTCTCCCGAATGACCTTGAAATTCAAACATCCGTAACTTCGTAAATATGGCGGGCCGAGCTTAGATTTTGGGTGCATCGTAATCAGGACGTTAGGTACTATCCACTGACCAAGTTTGGTCCAAATCGTAGGGGCTCACCTGATTCCGAATCTTAGATTATAGATTAGGATTCACTTACATCTAACTTGACGACCGTGAAGGTAAAAAGTCGGTTTTAAGTTTGATTTAGAAGACACAAGCAAAATAGTATTTTGACAGTACATACTTATATTCACAATGCTTGCACACTGAACAAACGTTAGCTGTTAATCTATAGATATAGCCACCACCAATTAATAAGTGATTAAGGGTGTCCCCATCATCAAGCTCACCGACGCACAGATAATGATCTTCACACCATAATGATAGCCATGTCGCGGCACTCTGCTAAGAAACCATGTTTCAACATTAAGTGCTATGAAATATGCTAAACAGGGTGACACAAAAAAGCGGTCATCACCAAATTTCGAATAACTTCGGAAGTTTTATTCAGATCATCACCAAACTTCGGCCACTTAAGGTCACACCTATGTAGCATACATCCACCAAGTTTCAAGTCTTCACTACGAATACTTTTAGTACAGTGTGTGTTTTACGGACGCTCCACAATGTGCTCCAGGTGAGCGCCCCGGCGCTGCAGGGCGTAGGCACACCTGCATCCGGCGGGCAAAGTTGCCGATAACCCGATAAGAATAGCGTTTCAGGGGTAGCACACCCCCTGAGAACTGTCTCCAGAGGCCATTGCACTCTGTAAAGTGCACAGCCATCGGGTTATCGACAACTTTGCCCGCCGGATGCAAGTGTGCCTACGCCCTGCAGCGCCGTGGCGCTCACCTGGAGCACATTGTGGAGCGTCAGTAAAACACACACTGTACTAAAAGTATTCGTAGTGAAGACTTGAAACTTGGTGGATGTATGCTACATAGGTGTGACCCTAAGTGGCCGAAGTTTGGTGATGATCTGAATAAAACTTCCGAAGTTATTCGAAATTTGGTGATGACCGTTTTTTGTGTCACCCTGTACCAGCCCGGACGTGCACACGGCGCCGGTCAAACTACGAATGGCAGGGGTGGCCACCAGCCTGCCCCGCCCTGAACTGGTCGCCAACGTGGCCGGGTCAGCTGCAGTCGTGTGACGGAACATCAACATAAACGTAACACTTATCTCTAGAAAATAAATGAAATACAGCGCTACAGCGAGAAGTTGGGCGATAAACAAAACCATCAGAGAAAAACAAACAGTGAAACAGCATGGTACGGAAGAGACAAACATATAATAAACATATTCACCACATGTTACGCTGTAACTCTCCAGCCATTAGTGGGGTCGCGTGCCGGCTCTGTGGGGTCGCGGCAACTAAACATTTGTGACCAATGTCTCCATGCGGAAACACATGCTGGTCCACAAAAGCGGACGGCGCCTACAGTATCCATGTGAATCGTGTTCCGTTCGCACCTTGGTTTCAGAATCAGCGGCCAGCTCTTGTTCTTGGTCCTCTCTGCGCTGTCTCAAGCAGTGAGGACATTTCCGCTCCCAGTCGCACAGCTCCCTTTCACGATATTTTGACCAGGAGGCTCTCGATGTTTCCGGATGAAATAGTGCGTAGTTCAAGCACATGAAGACTAGTCCGACAATAAAAGCAGCAATTAATAGAAAAGGCCACCAAGAGTAGGGACGTTCACAACTGAATAACCCCCAATACGCTGTGAAACAGGTCACGTCGAACAAAAAGCTGAACGCATAGTAAATCAAATAGCGTCGGAATGCTGGAGTGTCCGGTAAGTTGACGTAGTGGAAAAGATAAACGAAGGACATAACCAGTCGGAAGTAGCATTCCCTAGTAAAATTTTTCATGGTACCCGTTTTCATTGCATCGATGCAAAACGTACACAGAAGGAAAACTAAATAGACAATGAACGTAGTGACGACTCCAGCTATCCAACTGACACTGAACAGGCAGGCGATAGCGATTATTCTACACATCATGAAATAACACACCGAAAGCCATTGCATTGCTGCTCCTGTATAGCAAATGTCTTTCTTATCATAGCGAACTCGCTTCGTGTTTATGCATGCGGACGTGAGACATAATCCAAGAGACATCGCAGTCACTATACAGAAGAAAGTGTCTGTCCCACTGCTGCTGCCGCCCCAGTCTTCATTCAGCAGTCTATAAACTTTTAGAACGAGCTGCGGGCCAGAGCCGATGAACGTACTAATCATTCTAAGGTGAGCCAGGTCAGCCTGTTTTTGAAAGACATCGTGGAAATGTCCATGCTGGTTATGTATGCTTATTTTGTTAGCGACTTGACGAGTGCGCCATATTAGTGAAATAAATCCGGTAACAATGCACAAGGGTGCTCTTTCCCACCTTTCTAATGTTTGGTTTTCCTCTTTAAGGTCATTACTTAGCCAAAAATGTGCCAAAATAGAGATAATAATCCAAGGAATGATCATGGTTGCAAGCAAGACACCACTATACCGGTAATGCTTCTCCACAATGTAGGCATGCAGTTGATATAAGTTACATCCGAGCGCCACTAAAAAGGTGATAATAGGCAACCAATAGAAGAGCCAAAAAATACAATCGATTTCCGGCATGGGTGGTTTCAACCAAAAATCCTTGGTGAAGAGGCGCCGTAGAAGGGTGGCGAGTTGTAACAAAAAATCATTGGTGAAGAT